CATCGCTTAACCAGCGATCAAAAATTGAATAACCATCGCTTAGCCAGCGATTACACAGATCAATTTTCATCGCTTAACCAGCGATCAAGAAATAAATTGTCATCGCTTAACCAGCGATCAAGAAATAAATTGTTCAATAACTGAGACTTATACCTAATGGTGAAATATCTGTAATTACATTTTCAAAATAGCTTTTATTAAATTCATATTTATCGCATATGTTGACTATATTAATTTTATTTTATTTCACGTCATGTAAACAGCTATATTTTGGTTTAAAATTTCGCGGCCCACTAAAATCTCGTGTCGTAAGCAATGGTCAGGCAACACATGAAATAATATTTCAAAGCAAATGTTATCGATCTCAAATAACTTAATATTTCTTGACTACTGTGTACACTGGTTTGTCCTATACCAGTCTTAACAACAACATTATTATAACGCGTCCCGCTAAACTTAAAAGATACTGATTCTTTAATAAGTGAACACTCGGCGCCCGAGTCATAATAAAATGAAAAACTCTCACCGTGATGACGTAGAGAACCAGATGGTGTGTTTACTAAACAAACATCCACGCGACGCTCTGCCGACGGACCTGCTCTGCTGCTACCTGCGTCGTTATTGGCTTCCGATTTCTTTGGGAACGAACAACGGGAAGCGTAGTGGCCAGACTTGTTACACTTGAAGCATGTAACCATTTTATTCGTATTAGATGTGGCACTTGGTAATGGCATTCCTCCATGTTGCGTTTTAAAATTGCTTATTTTACTTGAACGGCACTCTGTTGACTTGTGTCCTATTTTTCCACAATTAAAACAATTTATATGCGATGCAATATTTGGTTTAAATTGTTTTGCGTCGGATACATCTCGCTCATTAACTGGAAGTTTTCTTTTCGAGAAAGAAAATGCTGCTAACTCTTGCTGCAAATTTTGTCTTGTTTTTATTTCTGTGGTAAATGCAAGGTGTTGAACTTTATTTTCGAATTGAGAAATTTGGGCTAGAACAGTGGCAACTGCGATTTCTTCGATATTTAAATTTTTCCATCTTGACATTAATAATGAGACTTGGCTGGCTGCAAATGCTGCGACGCATTCTTCCTCTTTCGGCTTATTATTATTAGTATTTATTAAAAATGCAGCTGGAGTTTCTGCGTTATTATATCTGGCATCAAAGATTTCTTTGAAGTCCTGCCATGTCATTCCTGGGTAAGAAATCTGAGATAACCAACTAGCTGCTTGACCTTTTAATGCTTTGCTCAGCGCAATCATTAATCGAGCGCCAGTTAGCGGTTGATCGGTTATACACATATCAGCTGTAGCTAACCAAGAACGCGAGTCAGCATTTTTGTTATGTGGGTCGAATTCAGGCAAATGAATTTTATTATCGACTGTTGGTGATTTTAATGTTTGCAACAAAGCCGAAAAATTTTTATTTTGTTGTTCAAATAAATACCTCCATTTATCTGCTTCAGTTTCTGCCGTTTGGGCCTGAGCACATCCCACTTCTGATGTCGGGGTTGCATCCCCTTGTTCTCCAAGGTCTGCCATACTTAATAATTGTTTATAGTATCCACACAATGTTTATTTATTAACGTTTATATTGTTTATTTTATCACACACATACAAAACTAACTATACTCAACTAAGTATTAACATAAACTAATTATTAAGCACTAAACTAATGTCTATTTTGGTAACTCGTAGAATGGAGGTGATCCCACTGGTCGTGCCAAGTCAGACACCCAAAACTGAATGCCTGTCCCTCTTTCTATTACGATGCAAAAGCCATCATTGCTTGCTCATCATTTCGCATTCGGTACTTCCCCGAAATACCTGGCACCGCCCTTGATTCCACCCAAGCTTGTTTAGGCAACCAACTTGTCACTCAACGAGTTCCCTAACATATATATACATAATATCATATATGATATATATATATACCTATAACTTATAGGTATTATAGGAGTTATAGGTATATGCATAATATGCCGGATGTCCAAGGCAATAGTTGATTTTGACAGAATATTGCCGTGCATCGCGTTTCTATTGGTAACAATATCATAATGGATCTCATTATAGTACAGGTAAGGAATGTCTAATAGTTTATTTTTTCTATTCCCACCTTTAAAACGCCCATTATCGTACATGTTTCCATGACACTAAGTGACCTTTTAAATACACATTGACAAGTTGTGGCTTTATGGCGCTTTAGTCACGGGCTGAAGATAGCAACAGGTTTTTAGTCACGGGCTGAATTTAGTTTTAAGTTAGTTGACAGTTGTCAAATGTGCCTTTCTTGTAAAATAACACTAAATGTGAAAAAATTTTATTATCTGAATACAGAAATAAAAAAGTATTAAATAGTTTCCCAACGCCAATATTTGAAAAGTTTATATGAACATTGTAAACCTTTTAATTTCGCCGGCAGTAAACTACAACTTAAATTCGGACACGGACTCCACTGTAAAGTGCTCATAAAACATTTTCTTAACTTTCACTGTGAAAAACTGTCAATTTTCAAGAAATACAATTCGATTTATAACCTTTATAATCTGTGTTTATAAAATATAAAAATGTGACATTTGACGGTGACACACAGATTCCCCTATTGCTTCATAGATGGCGCTCTATACAAATTTTTGATTTAATTCATTTTAAGATAATAATAAGTATTTGTCGTAGAAAAAGTATAGTATGCACCTCGTTTATAAACTTTTCCATACACTCATTAATTTAAGCACTTGCTCGCAAGCTCGCTCGTGCCTAAATTAAATTCGTGTTTAAAATGGCTTTTATCAAACTTGATACATAATATACTACATTATTAATAAACGAACTAAAGTTTTTTAAGCTTTTAAACAATACAATGCTCTTAAATTTTAATTAAATACTTATTTTTGTTTATGTAGACAGTTTAAAGAAAATTAATATTTTTAAAAATTGATTTTATATTATTTGCCACCTGATTTGGAAAGAGGGCAATTTTTGCAAATTTTGACTTAAAAAAAATTACGTTCATCTTTTGGCCGATGGTTGCATTTATATATCTGAAACATATGTCTAAAACGGCAGATGTTTTGGCACGTGATCATTATTTAGTTTAAAGAAAACTAAAGGTAAAGGTATATATATTTAAGGATATTTCTTTCGTCATCAATTATTGCTTATAAAATGTTTGTAAAAAGTCTATTTCTACGTGAAAAAATCTCAAATATATCATATAAGCATATTTATACAGATGAAGTAAACATTGATATCAATATTATGCAAATATCATCCTTCCAAGGATATATCAAGATTAATATTTAAAAAAATTAAAGTAATTCTATATCCTCATTTCTGTTTTAGCTATTTATTTTTTTAGCAAAATTCCCCAAAAAACATTTATTTTATTTTTCGTTTACTTAATGGCAATAACATTTATTTGCTTATTTAATGAGAATATGGACAGTCACATTGAACAAAGAAACCAGTACTGTCCATAAATGCTCGTGTATACGTGGGCTGTATCATACAGCCTGTATGAGGATTTTTGTTAATGGTAGTAGTTATACGCGGGAAGCATTAAAATGCGTAATGCATTGTGTTCTTCGAATGGATCGTGCTAACCAGTGCCGTAGGTAAAAATTTTAATAACACAGCCATCTGTAAAAATATTATGAACTTAAAATATATACAAGATGTCCCTGAAATGCCTTGTTTGTTTTTTTTCAAAAGTTATTTAATAAAATCGAAAACGAACTTTCAACTTGTACCTTGGTTATTATCAAAATTTTATACAAGTAAATTTATTTTTGTATAAAAATATCACTTTTTTTGGTAATAATTATCTTATTAATTTAAATCTGATTTTTTTAAGTACTCACGATTTTTTAACTAATATTTAAGTTTCCTTTGGTTTAAGTTTTATACATTATTTCATTCGGTGATAATTATCAATTGCGCACCATGGTCACTTTTTACCCTCTCAGCATTAAATCATTTAATTTAAAGGATTATTGTACTATTTTTAATAAAAATACCTCATTTAAGGTAAAAAAAAACAGTATTTTGTCAATTAATTACTTTAATCCTAATTGAGGTATAAAAATATGGTATTTAGTTATAAATAATAATTATTATTGAGGTATAAAGAAACTATTTATAGTTTATCATTATTTAATCAGTTTAGTTCGAAGATTAATTTGCAAACAAAAAGACCTCCTTTCGTTAAGCAGTTATTCATAATGGATTTTTTAACATGGAAGAAAAAATAGAAATGATTTTGATTTATGGAGAAGCAGGCAGGAATCTTGATGATGCAGTTAATATCTACGCTCAACGTTTTCCGGATAAAATTCGATCACGTACTTCATTTCACCGTACAGTCAAGCAGTTTACTACAAACGGGAGTGTTCAACCGAAAAAAAGAGTTCGTCGAGCAACAGCCACAGGTGGAAATAATGAAATTCATGTATTAGCAGCAACGGCCGCTAATCCTCATGCATGCACGAGAATTATCTAGAGATTTGGGAATATCACAGAGCAGTGTATAATTAAAATTTAAAAAATAAATAAATAAAAAAATAAAATGCAAGTGTTTTATTAAAAAATTATTGGAGAATTGTATACAGAAGAAAAATCTATTACAAATATGAAAAATAACTAGTCTTAACCATTTTCAAAGGTTAAAATGAGAAGTTAATATAACGTTATGTAACTTCTAAAATAACCTACTTTTCAACTTATAAGTAATATTACAAACTAGTTAAATATTTGGTTAATTTATAGTCAATTTATAGGTCCTCTTGAAATAACCTTAAGTTATCTTTAAGTATGAAAAAAATTAATTTATAATGTACCATTATATGGACACCCTGTATGGTAATATATAAAAAATATTTATGAAAGCAAATCAATCATTAATTAACAAACTATTAAGTAGTTATGCTTAATAATTATAAATCATTATTTCTAATAAAATATATACGAAACTATTTAAATGTTATCCCGTGCGGACGCCTATGTAATCTACCCCATAAATATACACATGACGTTGGGCATATGCAGCTGTTAAGTCCCCTGCTTACCGTTACGCTACGACTACCCACCAGTCGTTTTTAGACTCCGACCTATCAACAAACCAAAAAGACGGTTATTTTGAATCCCACCAGCGAACCTTGCTAACCTAAAAGCCCGCGTTTGATGGTGAAAATTGTGCTGTGATTTCGTGCGTTATCAAGTTATGGCCGAAACGCAAAGTTGCTACACCAATTCGGCTTTCTGCCAGAACAGTGAGTTTCTCAATGGTCAACGTGCTCTTAGCCCCGGGAGGAACATCAGGCAGCCTCCTGTTGGAGCTCAAACTCCTCTAAGAATTCTGGACACGTCGTTTTCCGAAGACAAGGATGAAGAGGAGTACGAGGAACAAGAATTCTACGAGGAAATGCTCGTGGACGATGAAGGGGTCATTCAAGGAAAACAGCTCGTCGTGGTGGCTCAAAATATGGATGGTAAGAAGTATATTCAAGTGCCCCAGAAAGACGATAACCGACAAGGTGGCCGCTATGGATTGCCTGTGCAAAACAGGCCACAAATTAATGAAGCGATCAAAATCAAGCCCAAAATTCACCAGAACCAAAGGTATGAGTACATTCCAATGCAGGATCATGATGTAAAAAGAAAAGCTCAGACTCAGTACATGACTGAGCATAGATATGCAGTAATAGAGGCTCAAGAAGAAACACGAAATGGTAGATATGCTTTAGTACCAGTGGAAGATTTAAACAATGTGGTAAATGTGCCAAAGCGTGCTCACAGATACGAATACATTCAAGAATCGCCCTCCAAAAATATAGTTTGTCAAAATCCAAGTAGGTACGAGTACATTCAAAATACCCCCACCAAACCCATCCAAATTCAAAACAAAAACAGATACGACTACATACAAAACTCACCGCAACAAAGGTACGAGTGCATTTCCCAAAACGAACCAAGACAACAGAGAGTGGGCAACCCGATTGCCACTCAAAAGTTACACGAACTACTGACAACGCCCAAGAAAAGCCAGATGGGCTCCAACCAGAGCACTCCCCAGAAACTCTTATCCCCACACTCCCTTAGAAAACCAATGCCAATATCCCCAATTGCGAAAGAAACCCCCCACAGAGTGCTCCCGTCCTGCCAGCCACCCTCTAAATCGAAGGCCCAGCAAAAGTTAAACTACGCCTTGGGCTCGCGCCAAATAACACCCGACAAACGAACCACCGCCATTGTTCCTCCAATGTGCTCCAGCCCCATCCAATCAGTGTACAGTGAGACGACGTACTCCAACAAAAGTGAATCGTGGATGAGTTCGAGTGCAAAGAAGACTGCGGGACAAGCCACCTTGACCATAGCTGCGGTGATGATGCTGCTTTGTGGAGGAGTCACCTCAGGATTAAGTTTCTACATGATCTCTATTATGGGGAGGTTGTACTATTTGGACGTCAGTCTGGTGGCTGGGTTCACGTGCTTGATACTGGGGCTTTTGGGGTTCAGGAGCAGGAATGTTTATTGGTTGCCCAACAGGAACTACATCTTAGGTAAGAAAACATATTTCTAACATTCTTAAAAACACATATTAGATATATTCAGTTAGACTTTGCTTCTGAAGTGTTTTGTATTGGGGAATATTTCTAATATTTGTTTAACATCATCAAAGTTGTCCCTTTTCAAGTATAAGTATACAGGGTGTCCCAGAAGTCACGCATCACATTGATCTGGATTCTCAGACACTTGTTCTTCAAACCATCCCTCAGTTAATTTACTATTTCTTTACTTTTCAGGATACATATTCCTGAGCCTGTTCAGCCTGCTGACCTGCACCGGGCTGCTCGTCCTGTTGTTCCTGAGGCCCCGTCCGGGCAGTCCGCTGGCGGACATGACTTCCACCGCCATCTGCGGCCTTTCGGTGGTCAGTCTTGTTCTGGCGGTAGGTGGCGTGGTCTCGAGCTACTGTTGCGCCTTCCCGCCCCCTGACAACCGAGTGCAACATTGCGTGCCAGGATTCACCGTCTAGAAGACTTTTGAAGAACTCAACCGGATGTGAAACTTCCTTTCGAAAATTACAGGGTTGCCAAGGATGTGCCTTATTGTCCCTCCAGAATTACATTACCGTCTAGGTATTCTATTTGATGTAAATTTGCTTTTGTATTGAAATGGGGATTGTACTTAGTTTTGTTATTTAAATTTAAAAGTTTTTAAGATACATTATATTCATCCAAAATCGTCAATGGAGTGATGTACAATCAAATTGCGGTTAATGCCCACTTTTTGGATCAATCAATATTGTTTAGTTATTTATTAATAATTTTTTAGTTTTATATTGGTGAAAAACTTAAAAACATATAAAATAAATATACAGGGTGTCCCAGAAAAAAAGGGAGCGTGCTGATAGCAATGGAAATGCCAAATTTAAAAATATTTTGGCCGACTGTGTTTACTAATCTTTCAAAAAAGAATGTCTGTGAACTGTAAATTCGCGTGTAACTTCCCTTATGCTCTTCATACTATTTGCATCAAAGGCATTAAAAATAACTTCCTTATCGCTTATCCTTTTCATTAGATAATTTAAATTTTTAAGTATGTGTTTCGCATAACTTTCGGCACATTCCCTTTTACTCTGTTGTTTGAGTTCTGGGACACCCTGTATGCATAATATTTTAATAATAAATTTAAAATAAAAAATAATGATAAAACATATAATAAGTTTATTAAAACTTAATTTTTATATATTTTATGTATTTTTCTCTTAAGATGGTTACAATAGGCATTAATTCATCAGATGGAATGAAAAATTATTTAGTTTATAATACTTGTATGTACAAAAACTGTTTAGTCCAGTTGTCCAAAGATTTTTTAGTCATTTTAAGGTATCATTTAATTGTATCTACCTTGTTTTTTATAACAACAAAACTTGTAAATATTATTTAAGTATAAATATAATATATATCACGTTTTATACATGACACTGTATATTTTCATATGTTTATAATATAATAAATAAAGTTACGCTAAATTATAGTTTTGTTTTATGGGTGATTCTACAAAAGTTGGACAACTTGATGTCATCAGTCAATAGAGTAGGTATTTTAATATTTTTTGTAAATATTTTAGTATATTACAAAAGATCCAGGTTTTTTTAACTTGTCCACCCAATTTTAATGTATTTTTCCAAAAGCACGTTTGTAGAAAAACATAATAAATATTCAAAACATCAGTACCTTGGCGTGTCACAACTCCTGAATCAAATATTTGTGTGATTTTATTTTAAAATATATTCAATTTCACTAGAATCTATAAAACATTAAATAATGGATTATTCATATTTTATCATAGATTCGAATAATAGCAATTTTTTAAAAATTGATAACCTTTGTACTAACTTTTACCCGTCAGTTCGGTGTCTAATGTTAAAATAAAAATTCCTGCGAAATATTGAAGTTTAAACGTCAAGTCCTCGTTTAAACTCAAGTGTTGGTAAAAAATACCTACAGAGCCCGCCCTTTGCACGACAGTAATCTTGAAAACAATGCAAGCGGCGAAGTTGTGGTGAATGCACGTATAGTTCCAGTCAAAATTTTAGTACTGTGGTGAGTAGTTATTTTCTTACGTATATATATTTCATTGTAATTTATATAAGGCTATATGTGATTTGTTGATAAGTAGCATCCACTAATAAAAAATATTACTAAAATACTTCCGAATTATAATCTCAAATTTGTATCAAATTCATCAATACCGTGTCATCAGTTCCATGTTCGATGTTTCTGTTATCTTTTTTTCGTAAACTTCAATTTAAATTCTGCTTGCGCAGAACTTGTTTATTTAATTTCATTATAAACTCATATAAATTTGGTGTGGGTCCCATATCTTACAATTGAGAAATCCACCAGCCGCCACTGATGTGTGGTATTATTTGATTTTAAGATATTTAATGTATAATATGCTCAAAGTTGCAATAAATCTTATATTTTCCAATAAATTATGTATTTAATTAGTACCCTGGTATACTCGTCACTTCCCTTGCATTCAAATTTAGAAAACACAGATATTTTAGAAACTGTTTGAAAAAGTGACTGGCCCGGTCTGGAACAGTATGTTTATTATATTATCTATGTTCTCATAACAAAATACTGTTTAATTTTCTCCGAAAACTATATAAACAAAATGAGGTCAAAAGTCGCCCAACTTTTGTAGAAACACCCTTATATTCGTTATCATACAGAGTGAAAAGAAAAAATGTATTATTGTTGTTTGATTTTTAAGTTTTAAAATTTGACACCAAAACTAAAAGTAGGGTTTATGTAACAATTTTTAGAAAAAATAATTTAATATATATTTGCTGTTTTAGCATTAAAAGAGCGTCTATCGATATTAATTTCTTTCCTGTATTAGGTGATTAGTGATCAAATATGAAATACCATTTTGTTTAATTGACGAAAAATAAAATTCAGTAATACAATTTTGTATTGTAAGACTATTGGTAACCACCTCAGAATCAGATGAGAGTTTTAGAAAGATTGACCGTCTGGTTTCCGAGTAAAAAAAATTATTAAAAAAGGGAATACGAGAAAAAAAATTATAGATTGTCATGATATACATCACCTTTACAGCCCATGTCTTTAATTAATGTATATCTTGAAATTGAAAAATTATCCAAACCAAAATTATCAATCTGTCATTTTCGTCTAGGAGATCCGGCAACACTGGATTACGAACAAGTGTTTATCTAGGGATATTTGGTTTGATTTATTTGGCGACTACCGTAATTTCGTTTTTAAAGTAAATTATTTAAAAAAACACAATTGTATTGTTATTTTAATAATTAGAGAATCGTTCTACCTTTTATGGTTTTCTTATCTTTTCTGCTCCGTCTCTTTAGACTTTCGAATTCAACATACTGCATGGTTTCTGTTGCTTTATTTGCACATAACGTAATAATTCGCATAAAGAAATGTCACTGCAGCTGTCAAAAGCGAAAACCGTTACCATAGAAACCGCTAAATACTATTTTTTACGTTTTTTTCACGTTAATTTGTTACAATATATATGCAGAGCCGGATTTAGCACGGGGCCAGCGAGGCCACGGGGCCAGCGGGGCCACGGGGCCAGCGGGGCCACGGCCCCAGGGCCCCCACCATTTAGGGGCCCCCACCAATGCAATATGTATCTTTTTAATGAAACAAATATCAAACAAATTGACGGGTCGGTTATACCGCGCAAATTATTATATTAATATTATGTAAGGGAACATTTTGGACGAGAAAATATTGAAAAATCTCAACCCATCTTTTGTCAATGGAAACTTTTTTAGTCAATTGAGGCAATTTTTCTTCAGTATTTTTTTACTTGTGAGCAGCCGAAACTTTTTTTTATTTTGTGATAATTATAAGTTTTACAAATTTTTTATTTTGTGTAAGAAATTTTTCTCGTATCACTATAGTGATTATATATATAGTGATTAACCGCGTGATTATATATATAGTGATTAACCGCAAAATTCGGGACATTTTCAAGACGTTTACTCTTGCGGAACATGTTGATAAAATCCGGGACGAATGATCACTTTAGGCAAACAGTCAATTACTTATAATCTAATATTAAAGTTAGTTTTTGTCCCAGATTTTTATTGGTACATCGGAGTGTTGTGGAATATTTTCCGGGTTTCCAAAATACTGTTTTGTGCTTTTCTTTGTACAAAAGATTGTTTTATTGTTTGATTTTGTATGAAAAACAGACAAATAATACGACTTTTGATGCACTTTTTTTCAGTTTGCGGTAAGTATTAAAAATACAAACAAAACATAGATCAATTTATGTTCGTATTATTATTATATTAAATATAAAGTATATAAAAACACTTTCATTCACAATTCTATTCTACTATCTACGTTTTTATAGTTTTGCATACCAATTTATAATTTCTTAGACTTGGGTAAAATGTATATAAGGTTATGTTCGTATTATTCAAAATATACAGGGTAATTCAGACTTGTGGTGATAAAAGCTCAGGGGAAATTCTTCTCATTAAAATATGAAAAAAAGTTCCTATAAACACGTGTCCGAAAATGCTTCATTATCGAGATCAGGGTGTTTCGTTTTTTATTTATAGCTTAAAAACGGTTTGGCCCATTTTATTAAAATTTATATGGTTTATTAAATAATAAATGATTCAAAGATAATAAAAAATCATGTAAAGTTCCTCTAGCTTAAAAATTAACCATGAGTTTTAATTTCCCAAGTGTCCCAGGCCCCAGGGCCTCAAAACTCTTAATCCGGCCCTGTATATATATGTATATAGTATAGTATAGTATAGTATGTATTATCTTGCTTGATATTTCATGTATTTTCTGTATAGTTTTTGTAGTATACTACAGGTACTACCTATAGGTAAGTAGCAGTTATATAATAAAAACTTACAATAAATTTAAAAATTAAATAAATCTATTTAATTTAATTAAAACTATGCAATGCATTGCAAAAATGGTTTCATTTATAAGTATTTCTTGCTTACATTTAAAGCGTTTTTTTGTATGAAAATTATTAAGCAAGCACAATTAGAAAGTATCAACAACAGGTGTAAATACCTACTACTATTTTTATTATATTAATGTGATAGATACACTTAAATGTATTTTATAAATGAAAATTAAAAAGTTTGAAGTTATGTAAATCATAGAGACAAAATCTATCAATACATGTAGGAAGTAATAATTATTATTTTTAGTGAGTAAAATGGAAAGTGCGGTTGTGACTATAAAATATTTTGACAAAGATTTAAAAAAAATAAAAACTATATTTTATGATAAATATGGATTTTCCTCTGGTTTCTTGACAAAATGCACACATTTAATTTTTCTAGAAACAAGAAATAAATTTCTTTAACTCAATTAGGATTTCTGTCGCTTCAATATCTATAATTTTCCCGATTAACTTCACCATTTAAAGTAAACGTACTTTCATCAGAAATATTTAAGAAAATCTGGTTTCTCAAATCGTTCCCTAAACATTTCTCACAAGACCACTTTCGCTATATTTTACTTCTATTTTACAGTCCCCTGGCAAATAGGAGGCAATTCTGTATGCATTTCGTTAAATATTCGAGTACCCATATAAAAATAAAAAACATTTGTTCACAATTTAATTAAAAATGCAAAATATGCCTATAATTAACACTCAAAATGTACAAAACAAATTTAATTACCTATAATTGTCACGTTCTCGATAATGTAATATTTTAAATTTCTAAATTTGTTGGTTAAAAAATTCACATGTTCTATTTTACAACTCACATAAATTTTTTTTCAAATTATTTTTTTAAAATTAATGTTATTATGAAATAAGCCACATAAACCTTGACACAAACAAATAACATATGGCTTTAAGAATGTTTGTGTACAACAATATTGTTGTAATTTAAAAACAAAGCGTAGGTAATTCATTATTTAAACAAATATATTACACTTATTTCCAATAAAATTTATTAAACCAAATAATAAAGTTGTGTCAATTGCACAGGTAAATCTCGCACGTTATTTGTGTTTCGAGTTTTTCATGTTTTGCCAAAGGATCCAATTCGGCACGCATATTTCTTGGTGCAGAATGAACTAATGATAACTACCTATAATAATTTATATTTAAGTTTGGACATTTTTAAGAAATCTAACAGACAATAATAGTTGTACAAACATAACCTTAAAATCAGTTTTTTTATGTTTGAGTCCGCTAAAAAACGCCAAGAAGTGTATTTTAAAATAGTAAATGACAAAATATACCTACGAATTCATGGAACATAATATTATATATAATAAATTACCCGTTTTTGGTTTTTTACCGTTGAGTACAATTTCTCAACGCTTATGATTTTTTTTAACTAAATAATTAATTATTATTGTTGGAAGTTGGAAAATATAAAAAATAGTATATAAAGGGTGTCCACTTAAAAGCGCTCTAACTTTAAAATGAAATAAAACAAACTACACTTAAGATATTAGGAAAAAAATTTATTTATTTAAAAGAACATCCTATGGCATTAATTATGAAAAATAACATCTTTCAAATGCCCCCCACGGCTGCGCTCCACAGCGCGCATTCTGAAGGTCAAATTTTCTATCACTTTTTTGCACATTTCGGGTTCGATTTCATTTATTATACGAGTAATGTTGGCCTTTAGTGCTTTAATTGTTAGTGGCTTATTCACGTACACAAGGGACTTTACGTAGCCCCACAAAAAAAGTCCAGCGGCGTTAGATCGCATGATCTTGTTGGCCACTGGATATCGCCGCCGCGTGAAATGACGCCGTTGAAACGTTTGGCGAATTAAACATTGATTTTGTTGGTAAATTTGAATAATTTGAATACGTTGAGCAACCGTGTAACGCTCCATTATCAAATGTCATAATATGCCAACAAAACTTCAAAATATTTGACAGCTGTGTCTGTACTGACTTAGCCATAGCCGCCTATCAAACATCGAGCGTACCTAATTGGACACCCTTTATATACTCATCTCATAAGAAGTCGCTCGTTTTGTAAACTTGTACTTGTGCATGCGAGAAAATGACGTCTTATGACGTATTCGTTTTTTAATATACATACTATTAATATACTCATGTGTTTAATGTAAATGTTATCTATTAAAAACAAATTATAAACGCGCTAGTTATTGTTAGGTACAAATGTTTTTCTGAAAAAATGCAAAAGCTCAAGGGCATAAACTAAATTTTGTACATAGAACTTTTGAGGAAAATCATTATAATAGTGTTTAAAACAAACAAGAAGCGAACAAACTTCAGATCGTACATATATTTAGTTACAAATACGATAAAGATTTGCTGACAAAATGATATTCAAAACAGGAAATTGTAATCTAAAAGGGGTATTGGAAGGCCTGGAGATAATTGAAACTTTATTTTGCTAACTTAATGTTTTATATTATTTACGTTATTTACACCGCATTTTTTTCTATTATGAAAATTTTGTTGATCATAATTTGATTTAACTGAACAGTTTGTTTTCATTATCCATTGTAAAAACATATTTTGCACATTTTAACAATACACAGTAAAAAAAAATCAACTCTAAGCAACACTAATTAGAGTTCACACAGGTCCACACTAAATAGGGTTGTTTTATAACACTACAATTAGAGTTAATTTGTAATGTAATTTTCCCCAAGTAAGTAAGAATGATTTAACACTATAGCACTGAGGATAAAGTAATTTTTCACTATTTTCACCTAAAATCGTGTACTTCTACACTTCCTGGGTAAAATCCCACTTTTGTTCAGTGTAATTAACACTACTTTGGAAAATTTCCAATTTTAGAAAGGTACTTTTACTCTTTTAGTGCAAACTTCTAGTGTAAATTAACACTTTTATTTGAGTAAAACCTATTGGTGGTAGTGAGTAAAACGAAAAGGTAAATAAAGAGAAACATTTATTTGGAACAAACATCTATGACAATTATCAAAATCGGTGCCTTTTAAAATATAATTTTATATTTGAGTCGTATGGCTGGCTTAAGCAAAATGGTTCCTTAAAACGTAAAAGTTTTAGATCAATGCAATGTTTTACTGGCTGTCAACTTGTAAGCAATGAATTATCTTGAGAATTCATCAGTAATCCATTTTATATATAAAAAAATGGGTGATCCCATTGGTAGAGAGGCGTCAGGCGGCTGTATGTCGGGGATTTACCACACGTGTACAAATTTTCTATAATATTAATAAAAATGTAGGTATAGGTTAATATAAAAACCATTACGCTTGAAAATAAAAAGTAAATCAAGTGTGTATGTATTTATATTATAAATGTTACAAGTACCCAAACTACTGCCGTAAATTATAATTATTGATATATAATATAGGTCGGGTATGGACATCCTTTTAACATATTGGTATTTATTGAAAAATAAGAATGTCCCTTTATGGATTTACCGTAATTAAAATCTAACTGAACAAAAATGCCACACTTCCACAACGCGGTATCTCCGGATATGCACTGCGTACTACGCAGTGCGTAGGTAGATAGGTACCAACCAAACATTTTAAAACGCATTTCGGTTATTACCAGTTTTTTCAGTCTATTTTGTCACTATTGGTGTAATTTAACTTTAATTGGGATGCAATGTGCACAAGTAGTGTAAAGAAAAAAGAGCTCTTAGTAACATCAAAACAGACAAAGAAATTGGCATGCACTGTAGTGTACATTTTGTCACTATTTAACACATTAAAATGTTTGGTTGGTACCTATCTACCTACGCAGTGCATATCCGGAGATACCTTAAAAGGGGTGATAAACACTAGCATTAAGTTTTTCTACCCTTTTGATTTATTTTAATAATAAATAGTGTGAATGTACCAATGAATAATGTTCATATTCTTTAAATGTATTTAATAAAGTAAATAAGCACTAAAGGCTATCTAGTGTATTTTGTAGTGTAACTTTTACACTTACAAATCAACTCTAATATTTTTACCCCTACACTAAAAAATTTACACGGGCAAAATTTTTTACTCTGCAATGGATTCTGAAACTTAAGACTCAAAATCATGTAAATTATTTCTTCCAAAGCAAAAGCATTTGAAAATAACAAAACACTAAAGGGCACGAAAAAAGGTATGGATAACATTTTCTTAAAATTAAATTCAAAAATTTTTTTCGTTTCTTCTACCTAAAGAATTTGGGGGAAAAGTGAGCTAATATGGGTTAACTAATTTATATTTTCATTTGGAACTGGTCAATAACTTTTTGGATTAAAATAAGCTAGGAAATATTTTACCAATCCACTCTCTATTGTGTATTTTATACCTAATCACGCATTAACACTATCATTTTATTTTAAAATAACGAAGAACAAAAACAAGACATTTTCCCAGCAAGTGTCGAGCGTTCAAGGCAATAGACCATAAAATGGTTCTGATGGTTTCAAGATTTGTGCCACTGCGACGCGCGGCAACACTGCAACGACGGCAACAAGGCGCAGTGGAGAATAAATGCGCTCGAACCTTCAGTTTGAAATAGGCGATGAACAAAGTTGAAGATCTGTAAAGTTAATGTTTATTCTTCTTTATGCAGCGTTATGCAATATTTGTGGGTGCTGGATAATAAGCTCTACAGTCTACAGTAACTGTTACGAGGAACAAAGTATTGTAAGTTTTAGTTTTAAGAATCAAGATAAGTTTTGTTTTGAAATACAAACAATATAAACAAAATTGCATGTTTATTATATATATGGTAATAATAGGCCTTCAGTTGATTTAAAGAAGAGCTGTGATTCCAAGTAAGTTATATAAAGTTAATAAATACATAAGTAAAATAATACCTACTATTGACGACCTTCAATTTTTTATTTATTTGGGATTGTATATCAAAGTCATAAAATACACACTATCAAATTTATTGGTAGGGCATATATTTATTATTTTTATGGTTTGGTGTACCTAATAAATAAATAAATAAACCAAATTAAAAAATTGCTTAAAGATTGAAGAATTGAGCGAAGCACAAAATTATAATAATAATTATTAAAAGTAGAAAGTAAGGTTATGTAGATCTGACAGTTATCGAATTTTTTGATTGGTCTAAAGTTTTTTGTGCAGACTAGGAGGTAAAAAACCTGTTTGATCTTAATTATTTTTACAGCCCAGGCAATTATCACTCAGCAATTTTAAATATTAAATAAAATGTAGGTACCCAACTGTAATTAATAATTTATATCTAAATCAATAAATTGACCAATAATATCTAATAGATACATATAAAACATTTAGTTAACTACCTACATAAATATAAAAACCGGTACTTTTTATTAAACATATTCATACTATTTATACCAAACATGTTTAATGATTAATTATTTTTTTGTAAACATAATATAATTGGTATAATTATGAAAAATTAGGACAATTAGCGAAGTAGAGGAAGTTTTAATAAACCTGAGTATTTATGTTAAAATGTGTGGAATTAAACACTTTTTTTACTATTAGCGATCTATAGGTAAAGATTGAATGGATCACCTATATATTAGTCAAAGTGACCAAATTCCTAATTTGGATAGTATTCGATTTTAGCACAAAATATTGGTCTTAAATGGGGCCCGTCTATACCCAATATTTTATCTGGGGCCAATATTGGATTTATTTAGCCGATGTTAGCCACATTGACAAGTTGTGGCTTTATGGCTTTTTAGTCACGGGCTAAAGCTAGCTACAGGTTTTAGTCACGGGCTAAAGTTAGTTTAAAGTTAGTTGACAGTTGTCAAATGTCATACAATCGTTAAAATGAAGTGCCTTTCTTGTAAAATAATACCTACTAAATGTATTAAATAGTTTTTCAACGGCAATATTTGAAAAGTTTAAGTGCACGTTGTACTGACCTTTTAATTTCGTCGGCAGTAAACTAGATTTAACTTAATTTGGGGTGGAGTCCAATACAAATTATCTTCACTTTTTTTTAATGTGAAAAACTGCTTCTTTATCAGATTTAACCGGTGGTTGTAGATTAATTTGTATGATTACATGTCGATTTTTGGTTTTGAAAGGTTTTTAGTTTTTTTCAAATACTGAAAATTTTTAAATGCATTTTTTCTAATTTAACCGAAATATTTTTTGGTGTTTCACCTTGTATAGGGGGCGGCAAAACGGACCTTAAAATCAGGGCCATATTACCCATTAGGCAGGAAAGGCAATTGCCTTAGGCGCCACGTAGAAATAGGCGCCTTGTACCCAAGCAACTTAAAAAAAAAATAAAAATTGTTACCAAAATGTTTCTTTTTTCCAAAAATAAAACAAATAAACAATATACAATTGTAATAACAGAATATTTTTTACTGTTTTTATTATTTTTTTATAGGTACCCAACTGTAATTAATAATTTATATCTAAATCAATAAATTGACCAATAATATCTAATAGATACATATAAAACATTTAGTTAACTACCTACATAAATATAAAAACCGGTACTTTTTATTAAACATATTCATACTATTTATACCAAACATGTTTAATGATTAATTATTTTTTTGTAAACATAATATAATTGGTATAATTATGAAAAATTAGGACAATTAGCGAAGTAGAGGAAGTTTTAATAAACCTGAGTATTTATGTTAAAATGTGTGGAATTAAACACTTTTTTTACTATTAGCGATCTATAGGTAAAGATTGAATGGATCACCTATATATTAGTCAAAGTGACCAAATTCCTAATTTGGATAGTATTCGATTTTAGCACAAAATATTGGTCTTAAATGGGGCCCGTCTATACCCAATATTTTATCTGGGGCCAATATTGGATTTATTTAGCCGATGTTAGCCACATTGACAAGTTGTGGCTTTATGGCTTTTTAGTCACGGGCTAAAGCTAGCTACAGGTTTTAGTCACGGGCTAAAGTTAGTTTAAAGTTAGTTGACAGTTGTCAAATGTCATACAATCGTTAAAATGAAGTGCCTTTCTTGTAAAATAATACCTACTAAATGTATTAAATAGTTTTTCAACGGCAATATTTGAAAAGTTTAAGTGCACGTTGTACTGACCTTTTAATTTCGTCGGCAGTAAACTAGATTTAACTTAATTTGGGGTGGAGTCCAATACAAATTATCTTCACTTTTTTTTAATGTGAAAAACTGCTTCTTTATCAGATTTAACCGGTGGTTGTAGATTAATTTGTATGATTACATGTCGATTTTTGGTTTTGAAAGGTTTTTAGTTTTTTTCAAATACTGAAAATTTTTAAATGCATTTTTTCTAATTTAACCGAAATATTTTTTGGTGTTTCACCTTGTATAGGGGGCGGCAAAACGGACCTTAAAATCAGGGCCATATTACCCATTAGGCAGGAAAGGCAATTGCCTTAGGCGCCACGTAGAAATAGGCGCCTTGTACCCAAGCAACTTAAAAAAAAAATAAAAATTGTTACCAAAATGTTTCTTTTTTCCAAAAATAAAACAAATAAACAATATACAATTGTAATAACAGAATATTTTTTACTGTTTTTATTATTTTATAAAAATTTACCTTCCTTTGTAATAACGAGGTGTAAAGCCGACAAAAATCGTACGGCAAATTCACTTCTGTATAAACATATCTTTAGCACTCTTTAAACTATTTCAAAACCCCCGTATGCTCCAAGCACACGGATTCCTCTTGCATCGGGTACCCGCTGTGATGTGCTGCTCACCCTAGCGGGTACGAGCTACTAGAGGAAACTGCTGCCGGAAGGACTTGGGTGTTTTCGCGTTTATTCAAGAGTGGCACTTCTATGTGTTGTGTGTTTGGTGATAGCAGTCTGTGTTCGATAGTTAAGGTTGATTTAGCCTGGCTTTTAAATTAAATTACGTTACGTTAGATTACGTTACAAAAATGCTGGCTAAATCCACATTTAGATAGTGTTAATTTTTCTGTTTGTTTTAAGGTATTTCTGAAATTTTAATATTAAACTAATTACAATAAACCAGCAGTACATCTAACATACAAAACAGAAAATTAAAGTTGATTTTATTTTTTTTAAATACTTACTAATGACATCTTGCAGAAAAACGCAGTTATAAGTCCTAACACTTTTTATTTACATTATATTTGTTATTTTTGTATGTTATTTATGTTTTTTATGTATTTTTTTAATGATAAAAAGTATTCTAATTCATAGGGAATAATTAGGTTATAATGCTCGGGCGCCCTTAAGCTAACAGTTTGGGGTGGCTCTAATAAGCTTTTTTAAAATTTGCCCCTGGCCCCGTAAGTATAGTATCTAGTTATAGGAGCCAAAATTTTAAGTGCCTAAGGCGCTCAATTGCCTTAAGCCGGCTCTGCTTAAAATGTCACTATTTTTGAAATTATGGAGTGTGAAATTCAAAAATAGCGACATTTAGATTCTGGTCTGAGTTCAACAATAAAACTTTAAATGCAAAAGTTAATATTCTAAACACCTAAAAATAAACAAAAAATATTACCTGCTAAATATACATTTCATAAAAATAATTATTATTGTTGTACACGTGAACAATGTCACAAATCACGAGGAAATGCCGTTTAAATAGCTGTAATTTTTAAAATTCTAACTAGCATTTAAAAACCTACTTCAAATAAATATATAAACAAAATATAAACATTAAAAAATATTATTAAAAACGTTTCCTGAACATTCAAGACATTTTTTTCTTATCTATCTAAATTGAGTGGTAATTGCGTACGATTTTTTGATATATTTAATGGTTTTCTCGTTTATATGTATGTATTACATACTATGTAATAGGTATACCTACGCAATTTATAGTTAATATCCTTTATAAACATCCTGCAATTAATAGGTACCGACGAAAAAAAAGGAATGCACCTTACTAACTGTGAAACTATTTTTAAACGCGATTATAAATTGTGATCAGGTTTTATCTACTGCTATATACCTCACAATTGAAAAGTTTAGTACTTTCTTTTAATTATCCACCTTTGTTTACTATACATATACAGTAACAGGCTCGGTAACTGGCAAAAGTATGAAACAAAGTCATAAAAAATGTGAAGAACGTTTTGGATGACTTTCACGAATTTGATTTTTTAGGTCTTCTTAATTTTGTGGTCTGTTGATGTAGACCTTTGATTAAAGGTAGCCCCATAAGCAACAATCGAGAGGGTGGTAAGATCTGGAGATCTCCCTGGCTACCCTGATAGCAAAATTTGATTCTAAGAATCTTCTAAGAAGATATGACTCGGAATAATGGAATATTCTTAGAACCTTCCCTTATTGCTAAGAATGTTCTTAGGGACTTTTAAAACATTCAATAGATACCCTTTTAATGATGCAATTAGATTTTTAGAAGCTTCTTAAAACCTTCTTAAAAAGCAATCTAACATTTTAAGAATACGTTTTTGGAATGTTCTTAGACGGTTTCTTATGGAACTTCTAGGAAGCTTTTGAGAATATTTCCAAATATGTCAGATACCCACGTTCTAATATGTTGGATATATATTTATTTAAAAATATTAAATAAACAATTTGACCTCTAAACCATAAGTTGTATGACATTATTTCATTAAAAGAAAAATTGGAAAATCTTGTGGAATAAGTCAGATTAGATTGAAGTTGAATATAGTTAGGATTATTATACATAAAAATGTTAATTTAGAAATAAAAAATCGGTATACAAATTAATAAATATTTATTTTTAACATAAAATAAAATATAAAAAAACAAAATATTTCCTTATAAAATAATTCTTCATAAAAGAAAAACCTAAATAGTTCTTCATAAAAAAATATTTTTTATTGTATTTAAGTTGGATAGAAGATTTTATGTAAAAGCCGAATAATTTAGATACCTATAGTAAAAGTATTTTTGTTATCGAATATTAATTTGACAAATAACTATAAAACAAATATTTTGGGTTTTGGTTTTTACTTAGTATTTAATACTAAGTATAGGTACCTTTATACGTAGATTATGGTATATTTTACTATTATATAGGTACCTAACTAAACTGAATATGCTTGACAGAATGTTCCAGGAATATTTCTAAATGAACTTTCTATAGCAAATACTTTCTCAACATTCTAAGCATATGTTTAGAGTGGATTAATTTTTACCTCTAAACTTTGCACTTTCTAAGAACTTGTCTATAGGCTAGTGAGAATATTCTTAGAATTATGCTATATTTCTTTTAAGCATGTTCTTTAGAAGAAATATAGCATGATCCTAAGAATATTCCCACTGGAAGGTTTAAAAAACATTCTTAGAATAAACTGTGCAAGCTTCTTGTTGTGTTCCAGTTTTTTTGCCACATCCTATTAGAATTAAAACTTCAATTCATTGTGTTTCCTTTAAATGGCCCATATTTAAATACTTCGAAACATTTGGAGAACGCAAGAGACAGATACTTCACTGAAAGCTCAACTAAAAGTTCTTACATCTAGTAGTGAATATTCGTTTTAAATTATAGGCTAACAAAGAAATATAAAATAAAAAACTTCCATACATCGACACTTTTGTAGAATAACAAAAAACACTATTTGTAGAATAACAAAAAACAATAATAAACAGAAAAAGTTTGACCTTGAAATGAAATATTTTGAGAAAGTTTATGAACATTTCTTCTATAAACACTTTTTAATTTTTTAATGAATTTGTTCCATACTTTTTCCGGTCCCTGTATATTTATTTATGTGGGTATAGAATCAAATGCTAAATTTAATTACGTACTGTTGTTTCGTTACATCACCTTAAAATTAACTTAAAGGTACTTTCACAATGCATTTAATTAATTTGAATAATCTTGTTTCAGAACAATGGTAAATTTATAAAATCATCAAAATGGAAACAGTGTTGAAAATTAAAACACGGAGTGGCCGCGATCCCCAGGAACAGTACCCATCTGAAAGGAGATACTCTGCTTCCAGAGTACTTGGACTTAGTGTCATCTACTTCATATTGTGCTTGTTTTCGTTCTTCATGGCCTTCTTGATATTACACAAAATGACTCTACATGAACATTTCGCTATAAATTGTGACAACTGCACTATGACCACCACAAATTCCACAATTTCTTTGGTTATCATCGACAACTCCACGGAGGAACAAGCTTATGACAACACAAGATTAATTAAAAGAGTTGAAAAAGACCTAATATTCACCCATGATACCGATCATTACATTATAAATATACCAGGTTTAATATGCGGGGTTTGTTTTATCATGACCTTGGGTGCTTTCCTGCCATTTTTGACGGGGCTATTTGCTTGGAAGCGTTGGTACGAAGATAACAACATTACCTTATTTTTCCTGGCTTCAACCCTATCCATTCTAACATCAGCACTATGCTTTTTCGTGACCATTATCTTTCTGCTGACCACGTATAAAGAAAAAGAGCACGGTTCTGCTTTGACAATAAGCGTGGAGTTGAATATAGTCATAGCATCCGTACTGTTGTTTATTACATCCATATTATCGGCTAACATGGCTTACAAAGGCAAGAAAAACGACTACCCAGACGATATGGTGATCTCCAAGAGAGCTGGTAAAGTGGAAATCAAAACTGTTACCAAAGGCAGCAAGAAAGGAACATCACCAGTCGATATTATAAATCAGTTTCCCAAAACGGAAACCTTATCCAAGCTCTTCCAGAAAAACGAAAAAAATGATTTTCCAAATGCAGAAAGCAACTACGAGTATCAAGAAAGAGTTAATAATTTTATTTCCTGCTCTACTGGATCCAACAAAAAGTAGTTAGTGTTTAATGACTGTTACTTAATATTATATAGGAACTGTATTGTGATATTTATTTGTATGCAATCTTGGATTTTGTACTTCATTTAATGTTTATTTTATATTTTATTTTTAACAGTTTATTCAGTAATATTAGCAAGCGTATTGCTTTGTTAAAATAAACGTTATGAATATATATTTTTTTATTTGTAACCTATGAATAAGACACTATCAATAAATATAAGAACCCAAATCAACGCCTAATAACAATGACACAACCAAAATTGCTTTTAAGAAAGCAAATATTGACAATGAACTACAGGAACAGTACCCTTTGAATGGAAAAAACATTGAAGTTCCCAGGGCCGGATTTAGAGGCGTGGAGGCCCTCAATAAAGTTAAATAATATTTTTCTTGCAAGTGTTTCAATCATTTATTTATTTAGTGGTATGGCACATAAATATAGTACATGCAATCACAAATCAAATAAGTAAAAAATCTTTAAATTAAAGCCTCTCATGCGAATGGCACCTTGCGAGCTTTTTTTAACGAAAGATCTTTGATGATTTCGCTGAAATCCAGCTCCTGCAGTAAATCACTTTCAATGCTAAGTAGGAATAACTTTGATAGGCGGTTTTGTTCCATTGTAGTCCCTATTTTTTTATAATTTTCATTTTTGAAAATGATAGCTCTCCAGTGCAATTTGACACCATCAAAACCAAGTACATTCGTAGTGTGATTTCGATGTTTGGGAATGTAGCTCTGAAATTTTGATTTTCAAGAATTTGATAATAGAACAGATAATAATAGACTATAAAAAAGACCTAGACTAGGTTCTAAATCGTCTTTGTAAACTTTTACCAATTCATCTGCTGCATCATACAAATTTGCAGCATCCATCTCCTCTAAATGATTAAGAAATCCAAATTTTGAACGTACATCATCGTATGCATGCAATCTTTAAGTAAGAGAAACACATAGCTGATGGATCACTGGGATATAAAGCCTGACACTTTAAATTTATCTTTTGGTGACAAGTTAGCATATTGTGCTTTCATATAATCGAGCGGATCCAACCTCACATTTCTAGTTCTGGTGCGAGATTGTACGTACTGGACAGTACGTGATATTCCTCTAGCAGATTCTTCGTATTTGTCAAACTCGTCTCTTTTGGATTCAACAAATAATTTCAGTGATTTCAATGTATGGATTGCAGACTCAAGAGTCATCTTCGGGTTCTGCAAGATCTTGTTTTTAGCGTAAAATGGCTCCAAAATGTCTGCTAATCTAAATTAATGAACCTACAATTCAAACCCACCCTAGTTGAAATAGCAAAGCAGAAACAATGTTTATAAATACTTTCTTTGTGTTTTCTTTTACAATAACCAAATACAACATCTCCGATGAATTCCTAATATTTATTTATCATCGCTAGGCCACTTATCTGCTGAAAGTCAGAATAACTTTTCCAGAATATTCTTAAATATTGTCTTATTCTGAGTTTTGAAGAGAAAGTAAGACTAATTTTTACTCCAAATACTGATTGCAACGTACGTACATTTATTGCGTCAGTCAAGTTAAAATAAAACTATAAAATGGACTATAAAAAGTTTATTACTTCCAATTCTTAATCTATAAACGATATGTAAATAATGTTTTTAAAACAATTGTGTTTAAAATTATGTATTAATTGGTTCTTCTGTAAAGTAAGTATGATTCAAAGCCTCCATAGCGCTTATTCTTTTGATAGGATCAAAGGTTAACATCCTCTGAAATATTAAAACAATTAGTTTGTATGTAGGTGCAAAATTAAGTTAAATACCATTATAAGATCTTTAGCAGTCTCACAAATATTGCCTGAGAAATTATGCATGTATCCTGTGGAATCAATGCTTCTAAAGCTTTCCCATTTTATGGAAATGTTGTCTTTAGGCCAGTCTGTTTCCGAGGGTCTACCCAACTCCCTAGAAGAATAAGAAATAAAGTCTTTGTAGGGCAGAATTAATATGTTTTTTACCTAAATATTGTAGTTAATTGATCTCCCTCTGAAGTCCCACAAAACAGTGGAGTTAAGTTGTATAACTCCACTATTATACAACCTATGGACCAAACGTCAACAGGGGTGGCATAGGGAAGTCCTAAAAGGACTTCAGGTGCTCTGTACCAAAGAGTTACAACCTAAAATCGGCGGAATCGTACACAAAACACTTGAACTTCAAAAACTTACCACGGAAGTTAACTTCATGTCAAAATCATATGTTTTGGCTAGACCGAAGTCGGCCAACTTAATATGCCCATCAAATGTGACGAGTAAATTTTGTGGCTTAAGATCTCTGTGTACTATTCTATTGCTGTGCAAGAAGTCGACGCCATTTAGAATCTCTCTAGATAGGTTTTTTATTTGGATCGTGTTAAACCCTCTGGGGTTTCTTTCAATGTAGGAACCCAAATCCTGTTCGACATGCTCAAAAACTAAATACATGATGAGTTCTTTGCCGGTTCGGTGTCCGTAGCAGATATCCAGTAGTCTCACTATGTTTGGATGCTCGTGAGCGTTGAGCTGCTTGAGTAGTCCTATTTCTCTAAGGGTGTTCATTGGAATGCCATCTTCAGTCAGGGCCACGCATACCTTCTTTAAGGCCACAACCCTATTGGTCCTTTTGTCTTTGGCTTTGTATACAGTCCCGTATGCTCCTAAAACACGCGTAAATTGTTGCCATTATGTGGAAATTATTTAAAATAAATTTTAAAACAATAGAGGCTTTTTCGTAGTGTGTGTATTTCTTGCTTACTCCATAGTTAATAATTGGCAATAAAATATAATTATTATAAAAGTAAGTCAGAGAATTCCCAATTTGTTTCTATGACAATACAATTCATTATAATAAGAACCAATAAAATGCCAGTATTCCATAGTTACGCATTTTATCACAGCGACAATATTTTTTATCACCTTGTTTACACGTTGCTAAAGGATTTTGACACTTTTCTTGATTTGACATTTGTTGACATTTAAATACTGTGTTTGTTAAATGATTAAAATAATGAATTATGAACTCTAAAAGATCGATGAATTGTAAACGATAATAAAATTAAGGTAAATAAGGTTTATTAAAGTCTTTTTATATTTTAAAGCACATTTTAATTCCAAATGTCAAACTGACAATTCGTTAAATCCTAAAATTCATTATATTTTCTCACTAAATATAACTCGTGGTATGATTAATTATGGATGATATTTAAACGATAATAAAATTAAGGTAAATAAGGTTTATTAAAGTCTTTTTATATTTTAAAGCACATTTTAATTTCAAATGTCAAACTACAAATTCGTTAAATCCTAAAATTCATTATATTTTCTCACTAAATATAACTCGTGGTATGATTAATTATCGATGATATTTACTCATTAAAACCGAAGCAGCACATTTCACTCGTCCTGCGGACTCGTGAAATCTGCAGCTCGGTTTTAATTCGAAAATATCATCGATGATAATCATACCACTTGTTATATTATGGGTGAAAATAATAATTCAAAATAATTTACTTTAAATATAAAAAGAAACAAGTTTTAAAGATATGTTCAAAAAATCTTTAAATTCTTTGAAATTTCTTTTCTCTACCGTAATCGATAATACCCGTATATTTTCTTTTTGATTAAGTTTGTTTTGTTCACCCGTAGGAATTTTTTGAAAAATGGACAGAAACGTCAATTTTTCTCTTTTTATGAGTGACATTTTTTTTAAATGCGATAACTTGGCAAAAAATGTTTCGAACGTTACAATTTTTTTTAAATTGTAGGTAAATGTTAAAACTACATAAAAAAAAATGTTAAAAAAATTAATTGAATTAACTCAATTTTTTTTAAATTGTTTTTTCTTAAAAAGGCAATATTTTTTTCGTTTGAAGTTGATAATATGATGTACCAAAAGTCCCGAGTTGGATAAATTAGTGTTATTATTTTTTAATGAAAATGCCATTTTCTAGTAAATTCGTGGTTCATCGTAAAAATTTGGTATTTTATCTAGGGTCATGAAACCGGGGTGACCTTTATAAAGTGTAATTTAAACTTTTTGACATATTTAACATATTTTTGTCACTTCCGGTTTAACCGAATATGCTCTTAACTTTTTATTTTTTAATGATGGTGTTATGCATTTTTATATATTTCGATTCAAAATTTTGAATACATACATATGTCATTTGTAAATTTTTGACAACAAATAATTTTTTGATTAAATTTTATTTCTGTATCTAGAGTGCCTTGAATTGGCTTTCCTGCTTCATGTTGGATCAAGTAATCTGGAAAAAATACAATTTTATTAATTTTTTAGGAGCTAGCTCAATTTTTTGAAAGCTCGAGCTTTCAAAAATTGAAAAAAACATACTTTATGTTTTTTTTTAATAAAATATATTATATTAATGCATTTTTTAATAATATCGCTTTCAAACTTAAATTTGAATGTTTATTAGGTTTTAAAGTGTATACAGAAGTAAATAAATTAGGAAGGCTTTAAAACTTTTGTGTTTAAAAGTTCGTTAGTTTGTTTGTTTTGCTGGTAAGTGAATATTAACATTTTATTTTAATATAAAAACATACGCTAAAACTAAAACTAAAAAAAATAAAATAAAAATAATAATTGAGGTTGTTAGAATTAAAGTGTTGTTAGTAATTGCTCAACATTTTTTGGTTTTAAAACTACTAAATAAAATCATTCAAATATTTTTATATTATACGCTAAACAAGTATCGCTAGTAGCGCCACCACTAGGCTGTTATCATCGTAACAAAAGTACAACTTTTGATAAACATCTGTCAAACGCGTGTGTTACAAACGAGTGTTTTTGAGAATTGACCTATAAGCCGGAAAATGTTAAAAAATATCGAAAAAAACCGTGGCATGATTTGTTGTGTTGTTGGGTTTCGAGAGGAAATCCTGGGTTGAGTTTTTATCGGTTTTCCAATAAACAGTGTTAATCCGAATGAAGAAATAAATTTCATACAGTCCCTGTAAATATAAATTGTATCTATTAGATACAATAAATACACATTTTAGTAATGATTAACGTGAAAAGTGTAAACATTTCAATTCAGTAAAAATCGTCAAACAAATAAGTCGTCTAAATTTAAACAGCATTTAGCATTATTAAAAGCGTTGATTAAGAATTCTTTAAAGTCTTCACTCAACGGTAAAATACCATTATATTATTTATTATATATAATATTATGTTGCCATGAATTCGTAGTAGTGTTGCAACGGTTACGGTTACAGTTACAGTTTTCGATTTTATACGGTTAACCGTAACCGTATACGGTATTTACGGTTTTTCATCGAACTTTTTTATTTTTTTAAATATATAATTCAGGTACCTAATTAGTCTTTACTGTTTTTAGGTTTAAATTTGTTTTGTTGTTTTATTAGAAATTCTGTTTTTGTTTTACATACCTAAATTATTATTTAACCTTTACTAAATGTGTGTTTTTAATATTTTGAACAATAAACTTTATTTTTCTTAATTCTGCAATTTTTTGTTAATAACCGTGAATGTATTCGTAACCGTAGAGATAACCGTAATCGTAACCGTAACCGTAAAACCCGGAACCGTTGCATCACTAATTCGTAGGTATACTTTGTTGTTTAAAATGCAGTTGTCGGAGTTTTTTAGAAAACTCAAATATAAAAATGGTTGATTTTAAGGTTATGATTGTGCAAAAATTATTTTTTACTATTTTCATAAAAAGGTCCAAACTTAAATATAAATTATATTAGGTAAAGTTATCATTACTTAATTCTGCACCAACAAATGTACTTACCGAATTGGATCCTTTGGCAAAACATGAAAATGCAACGATTTAGTTCTTGAATTTGATTTACATTTAAAAACACAATTACACTGTAGGTAAATTTTTAACTTTTAAAATATCACAGCTAAACGCTCGGACACGTAAACATAATTTTTGGTCGTAGATTCCAAATCCGTGCTCGGTTTAGCTGTATCAGGTCTAAAAAAGTTTTTCTTATTGGAAATACGATCCAGGGACACACTGTATACTGGTATATTATAATTTGTAAAATAATATAATTCACCTCTTCTGCCAACAGTTTTATGCTTTTTATTTCATTTAATATAATATCCACAATTATACTCAATAAAAAAAAATCAGCAAAAAAACATTTCAAATTTTCTAAATTATCTAAGAAAAACCCTTAGGGACACGTGTATCTTTTGATCAATTAACTGTGTGGGTCCCGCCAAATTTAATTTAAAAAAAATTTATACAGGGTGTTTAAATTTATACAGGGTGTTTTCAATATCTTTGAATTTTGACCTGATACAGCTAAACCAAGCACGGATTTGTAATCTATGACAAAAAATTAAGTTTAAGCGTTAAGTTTCTTAATCAATGATATAAAGAACAATCAATCGAAATCGAGTACTAAACCAGTTTTTTGTTTTTTTCCTTGCAACGTAAAACACAAATAACGTGCGAGATTTAGTTGTGCAATTGAACTTCCTCTCTTTTGTGAAAAAATTACCTATTTATTTAAAAATGATGTACAGTTTGTATGCTTTAAATGTATTGTTGACAATTCTTAAATTCACGCAATGCAAGTCCACCAGATGGCGCGCGCGTTGCGAAAACCCGATACGTCTTTAGCGTATTATCATTGAGTAAGGACCTTACTCAATGGTATTATTGTAGGGAATCTCTGGCAATAAATAAATAAACGAAATATGAAATCAAATAAAAATGTGTTATTTCTAATCATAATTAATCTGCGCATTAGTTACTTAGGACCTCTTAGGCTTAATAGTTATTTCCCTTCTTGATAGAGCTTCAGTAAAAAAGACTGCGACTGCCTCACTCATATCTGTTAACCAACCAAAAATTTTCGGAATTATTTGTGTTAGAACATAACGTCACCAAATTCACGAAGTGGCGTATATGAAGATTTAAGTAATGCAAAAAAGCAATTTTTTGAAATAAAAGTTTAGCATACTAAACACTTATTCCAGAAATTTGCTTTTTTGCATAACACAAATCTTCCAATACGGGTGTTTGAAGTTTTGTGTTATGCAAAAAAACCAATTTTCTGGAATAAACGTTTAAAATGCTAAACGTTTATTTCAGAAAATTGCTTTTTTGTATAACTTAAATCTTCATATACGCCACTTCGTGAATTTGGGGACGATAAGTAATAAGTAAGCATAACATACCAAAAAGTAATGAATCGAATGCACAAGAAACGATTTCGAAATGTAGAACTACATTTCGAAATCGTTTCTTGTGCATTCGATTCATTACTTTTTGGTATGTTATGCTTACTTATTATTATTTTAACCTCTATTAAAAGTACCTAACACATGCAAAAATATTAAGAATTTACATTTTACTTAAAATATTAATTAATTTAATTTACTTACTTAAAGAGCATTTCCGGTGAAACCAGAAGTGACAAAATATGTTAAGTATGTCACAAAGTTCTAAATTACAATTTATAAAGGTCACCCCAGTTTCATGACCCTAGATAAAATACCAAATTTTTGCGATGAATCACGAATTTACTAAAAAAAGGCATTTTCATTAAAAAAAAATAATTCCGAAGCGACGAATTTAGCCAACTCGGGACTTCTGGTGAAAGTTGTTCATATTATCAACTTCAAACGAAAAAAATACGAAGTAAAAACAAAATGTGGAGATGTCAAAATTTTGACTATTTTTCATGCATTTTTTAGAAAAAACTAAAAATTGATTGAATTCACTTAATTTTTTATATATTTTTTGTATGTACTAAACATTTTTGGCCAAGCACTTTCAATAAAATGTCACTCGTAAAAAAATGATTTCTGTCTATTTTTTAAAAATTTAAGCAAAAATAAAAAACCCTATAATCATGGAGCCTTCACCCTCTTATTTTGGGAAGCCATTTGTATACATGCAGTATACATATGTATAATGTTGTAATTGGTTGATTGCTCTCTACAGGTAGTCTATACTAATAATACAATTATTTTTTTTATAGAAAAACTGGACCAGACAATAAATAAATAAAAAAAAATAATTAAAATTTAAAATATGTAGGTATGCAATTGAGATAAATAAATGCCAATTATTATATATGAAATACGATATTAAAGTCGATAAATTTTACAAACCTGAACCAATTCTGCTGAGAGATTCATATTCATGGCCAGTCTGGTCTGGAGCCGAAAAATGCGAACTTCTGTCTGCCATTGCGAATTTTACCTTGCCTCCATCTATTATAAAACAACAAACGAAAATCTCAAGGTAAGTAGTGTTAGCAGACTTTTAAAAATTAAATCACTACGCCTACATAGGTACCAGGTATATCAACAATAAGTTTATCAGGATTTTCTCACAATATTACTCTCTATATCTACCTATATCAATGAATAAATGTTAAATTGATAGTTTGCCTAAATAAAACCCATGTGTTTCATTCATAAAAATCTACCACTGGCTGTTTACAAAGGTTCAACATTCTAAATTTCTTTATCAACTACTTGTTGCTTACCATTCTTTAAACACGTGTCTCGGAAATACCGATCGTGACATGTTCAAGGGTTTTTGATTAATTAATTAATAGTTTCTCGAAGAGTAAACAGTATTTTTTGAAGATTAAACCACAAACACTTTCAATAAACAAGCTAGGTAAATTTGTCGGTTAAACGACTTGAGGCACAGAACACATTTTGCAAGCAACCGCGCCATCTAGGAGAATATTTATTAAGTAGATGTATGATTACAAAGGGTTTCTATTTTTTAGGGGCATAGAGGTTCTATTGTAATGTAGATATCAGCGCGTATATAGAAATAAATAAATAAAACATTTTCATTACGATGTTTTATTTAATAAACAATCTTTTAAAGGCAGTTTAACTAAAAATAATATCATTTAAATTTAATTTTTTCTTTTTTTATTTTATTAGTTATTTTAAAAACTACTTATATGGCTGTATCTAACGCATCTAAGAAGGGTTGTTATGGAAAAAAAATTAACAAGGCATTATTTGAGTTTAAAAACCAATAAAAAAAATATAAAAAAGGGATTTATCAATGGGCTCGTCCGGGATTTGAACCCGGGACCTCTCGCACCCGAAGCGAGAATCATACCCCTAGACCAACGAGCCGATCTGTTAGAATTTAAATTAATACTGTATTTAAACGCATTTATATCTTCAATGTTTTTCTTTATAAAAAAATAAAATATTACCTTGCTTAATTGGACAACAATTTAATTTATTTAGACAAAACAATCTACTGTCAGCGGCGTAACTAGAAAAAGTGCCGCCCGGGGCAGCAGTGGATGTCGCCCTCATGTTTTTTTTTTGGGGGGGGGGAAGAGTGGTTAGGTTAGGAGCAGGGACCCGGACCCAAATGAAATAACGGTTCCGGTCCGGTTCCGGTTCCGAGGGAAACGACAAATTTCGGTTCAGGTTCAGTTACGGTTCCAAAAAAAATATTTCTGTCCGGTCCGGACCAATCTTTTCGGTCCATACGGTTTTTTTCGGTTCCAATTTTTTTACTAGGTGTAAATAAGTACTTAAATTATAAAATGAAAAGTTTATTAATTTTTTTTATTTTTTTTTGGTAAATAATTAAATAAAGTATTACTTTGTCTCTTCTTATTTTTTAAATGAGGTTCTCTAATTTTAGGGTCTTCATTCTCTTCTTTATTTTTATTATCGATCGGCTGGCTTTCTTTATTTTTTCTTCTGATCTTGTGATTGAGAAACTAGAAAATTTATAATTAAAATAAGTTATATAAAAATAAAAAAACTAAACTTAGAGCTTTTCTTCTTCTTTTTGATGGGCTGGGTTCCCAAGTAGCATTTATAGTGGTTAAAACGTGTTGGCCACTTATACTTGGAACTGTAAAGTATATTGCCAAAATCTCTGCCACGTGCTAGAAACGGTTCTATTACGTGGAAGTAACTAAAATGGGGAACACTTTTTTAGTGTCAGTAACGTGGAGGTATAGTGGCCAAAACTAAATCATAACATTACTTTCTATCCCCGTCTCTTTCCAGCATATTATTTATTATCTTTGCTTTCTCTGACTGAATTTTAAACTAACACTGAATTATAAAATTGTAAGAGTAGAACTTGCAAATAATAACTAGAATTAAAATAATCCGAAGACATAAAATTAACACGAATTAAATTTTACTGTTAAACATGGGTATCATAGCTTGAAATATAAGCATGCCCTGTTAAAATGTTTTTTAATAAAAAAGAATAAAAAAATCTATAAACTTAGCGGATATGAAAATTATTTATTTAGAGGCCAAAAATAATGTTTTTATTATTTCTGGTCACCTGAAACCCATAAATAGGTATTAACGTGTTAAATTTGGTGCGGTAATAACCAGAATTAATTGTTTAAAACTACACATTTATTTCCCTACAATGGCGATTATTTGTAAACATGTCTGCTTTTAAAGAAGGGAACTTTAAAGTGGTAATTTTATACAAAATGTGAAAATCACTTAAGCATGTAGCAAGAACGTGGCAATCACCACCGCAATTATATAATCAATTTTGCCACATTCAAGGTTTGGGAAAAGTTCCGAAAACGTTACCAAAACTGATATACCCACTTTACTGCTACTACCACTTCAAAGTAATACTTAAGTGATCTGATTTGGTTACAGTTACTATTCATAATCCACTCTAAAGTTTAGACAACTTTAAGGTGGTGTCAAAAGTGGTCATAACATTTCATATACCAGACTAATACACCAAAAAGTTATAAAACTATAAAGTATATTCTGCTGGTGCAAATCACATGATTACAACTATGCTAATATAATATGGAGATATTTTAACTGTATCGTGGTAGATTTAGTTATTTAAACGTTATTGCCACTCATTTAAAGTGGTGATATCAGTTTTCGTCACTATAATGCTACTTGGGTTAGTTGTTTTTCATCCCATTTTAACCAAGTTTGAACATAGAGAATGGCTTAGAAAACCCCAAAGAAGCACATATAAAAGATGGTCGTTCATTTCTTACAAAATGGCGCGTCTTTCAATTACTTGTATGGACATTTTTCACATACTTCGATGCTGCCATCTGTAGGCAATTTCACTAACATGTCATTGACATGATGTTAGTCATAGTTGTTTAATTAAAAATATATAATTATATATATAACATATATACAGGGTGTTTCTTTTAACTTGAGACAGCTCAATATCTCGAGAAATACGCATTTCACGTAAATATGTTTTTAATAAAAGGTTAATGTGACCAAAGGGGACAATATTTGGTGCTACCGCTAGCCACCCCCTACCCCTCCTTAAGGGTAAAACGGGGGGTAACTTTGGAAAGTCAAATGGAATGACCCGATTTTTTTCACAGAGTTTGGTAGTACATAAAAAAATAAATAACTTTTATTTAAAACTTTTTTCAATTTATCAACAGATGGCGCTGTAATTCAAAATTTAAGAAAAATGAGTTTCCTTGTAAAATGTATTATTTGAAACGTTTGAAAAACAAAAATTAACATTAACAACAATAGTCGGCTATAAAAACAATTTATAACAAATGTTCGAAATGTCGTCATTCCATTTCAACACATTTTTGAATGCGGGTAATAAATTCTGGCACACAACGCGCCAACATATCGGGCGGTATCGCCGCACAGGCGTTCCTGATCCGCTCCACCATGTCCTCCCAAGTTGTAGGAATTGCAGCGTAAACTTTTTCTTTCAAGTAACCCCACTGGAAGAAGTCTGGTGGCGTAAGATCAGGTGATCGAGCAGGCCAAATTACTGGACCACGTCTACCGATCCACCGCGGTGCACCGGCCATTGAACTCCCGATCCAACACCTCTCGAGCAATTGTCGAATAATGTGCAGGACAACCATCTTGCTGGTACCACATGTTTTGGAGCGATGCTAGAGGTACATCCTCCAAAAGGTCCGTCAGATCGTTTTCTAGAAAATTCCGGTACTTTTCGCCATTTAATGCACCGTCAATAAAGAAGGGTCCGATTAATCGTTCGCTTAAGGTACCGCACCAAACGTTTACCGACCAGGGACGCTGGTGCTCCACTTGGTGTCGAAATGGAAGGACGACATTTCGAACATTTGTTATAAATTGTTTTCAGAGCCGACTATTGTTGATTTAATGTTAATTTTTGTTTTTCAAACGTTTCAAATAATACATTTTACAAGGAAACACCTTTTTCTTAAATTTTGAATTACAGCGCCATCTGTTGATAAATTGAAAAAAACTTTCAAATAAAAGTTATTCATTTTTTATGTACTACCAAACTCTGTGAAAAAAATCGGGTTATTCCATTTGACTTTCCAAAGTTACCCCCCGTTTCACCCTTAAGGAGGGGTAGGGGGTGGCTAGCGGTAGCACCAAATAATGTCCCCTTTGGTCACATTAACCTTTTATTTAAGACATTTTTCCGTGAAATGCGTATTTCTCGAGATATTGAGCTGTCTCAAGTTAAAAGAAACACCCTGTATATAACATTAAATTGTAATATTTTAAGAATTAAAAACAAACAAAAATTCTTAGACCTAGGTAAAGAAAAACAACTATTTTTTGATAGCTTTATTTGATTTGGAATATTTTGGGAGTAATTGTATAAATCTCAAATCTATTGGAATTTGAATTATATTATTTCGAAAGAGAATATTTAATTATCAAATATTTTTTTAATTTTTATATTCTGTCTTCCAGTTTTTTACGAATTTTCTCTCACGATTTTTGCCGCCCCAAGAAGTGCCGCCCGGGGCGGACCGCCCCCCCCGCCCCCCCCTAGTTACGCTACTGTCTACTGTCACTGTACTTTTAACAATAACCTAATTAATGTTATAGGTGCAAGTAGGTAATTATAACATATTGTATTAAAACATTTTTATATCTTATTTTTAGTAACATTTCGGAGCCACAATGCTATAAATCTATTGTGTTGTTTCTGGAAAGCGTGACGTCCGTTCTTGTGGTATTAACCCAAGCTTATACAATTAGTATTACGGACGTGAATTCACCACGACTTTCTGCACGGGTATGACACATGGAGAAAGTTTTAGACCTTACCAAAACATTTTTAGGAAAAGACATTAAATATCTTTCATGGAATTTGTTTTCTTGTAGGTAGGTATAATGCCTACGTATATTTTAAGTATAAATTATAAAAGTGTTCCACAGGGTTCGGTTTTGCGCCTTTTAAATTAAATTGTCCCCAAATTGTTTATTGTATGTAAAATTGGTCTTTTATAAATTTTCTATGAGGTTTAAAACACAATAATTAAAAAATTTAGGGCGTTTTTTGTTTATTCATCATTTTAATGCTTATCTGACATTTTAAACGAAGGGTTTTATTATTAGTTTGTTTTTATCGATTTTCACACGTATTTTGCATTTCTCGATAAAAAAGGCGTGTAACAAATTTGTAGAGAAATGAATTATCTACAATATGCATATAGTGAATATGGTTAAAAACTTATAAATTTATTACTAATAATATGCAAAAATTTCTTCAAATTTTAGTAGTGATCTACGAAAAACTTGTTTAGGTATACAAAAGCATTTGGAAGCAACTTTGCCATATAAATGTCACTTATTTTCAAATTTCTCAAAATAAAAAATTTCTCGATCATTAGGTTTGAACCAGTTGAAAAAAAATTCTTTTTTTCCTTTATTGGTACTTTAAAAAATATATAAAAAAATAAAATGATAATGTTTGGAAAATGCGAATTTCACGTGAATATACATTAATAAATTTTTATTATTAAATTTGTAATTTAAATTATCGATATACAGGGTGTCCAAAGTTATCATCCCTCATTGCTAGCTTCGTTATTATTGTAGCTACAAAGTCGGTTAAATTATCAAATTTGTGGTAAGTATTTTTTCTTTCGATTAAAATGGTGAAAACAGAAAAACAATTGAACGTCGGGTTTCCGAAATATTCACAAAAATATATATATTTTAAATAGAACAGGGTGTATATTTTTACTTATTTTGAAAATAAAGTTATTTCAACAACCATCGGCAAATTTAATTGCCTATTAATTGTTTATTTTTAATTTTAGTGTAATTATGCAATAATAATTTTTTGTTCGAAATTAAATTGTATTTTAATATTATATTATATTATGTATCAAGTTTTATAAATGCCATTTTAGTTACGAGTTTTATTAGGCACGAGCGAAGCTTGTAAGCGAGTAGATGTTTCCATGACACTAGTTGACATTTTAAATACACATTGACAAGTTGTGGATTTATGGCGCTTTAGTCACGGGCTGAAGTTAGCAACAGGTTTTTAGTCACGGACTGAAGTTAGTTTTAAGTCCTTACTTGTAAAATAAAACTAAATGTAAAAATTATTTTATTACCTATCTCAATACAAAAATAAAAAAGTATAAAATAGTTTTTTGACGCCAATATTTGAAAAGATTATATGAACGTTTGTACTCACTTTTTGATTTCGCCATAGTAGTATAGTTAACTAGATTTAACTGATAAAGCGTTAAAAATACAGTACAGTGCCCATAAAACATTCTCTTCTCTTTTACTGAGAAAAAACTGCGTCTATATCGATTGTTTGTCTATTTTCAAAGGATAACTTTTGATTTACACAAAAAAAATTGAGATTTTAACGCCGGTAGATTCCCAAGTTAGAAATTCTAACGGGAATTCCAATAAATACAACTGTAACTTTTTGTACCTTTAACATTTTCCTTGTAAATTTTTTTAATAATATATGATAATATTTTGCAATTATAGCGATAAAAAAATCAAAGGATAAATTAAATTTGTGACTAAAATGGCGTAAACGCCAAACTTGATACATAATATACTATTATCTACGACGAACACAAAAACTTATTCACCTCACTTTTCCCCAATTTATAATAAAGCTAACTTCAGCCCGTGACTAAAATACCCAAAAGCCACTATTGCGAACTTCAGCCCGTGACTAAAACGCCATAAAGTTACAGCTTGTCAATGCAGGAGTAGATGAAATTTGTAAAAATATATGGTAATAATAAATAATTATTAGTACCTACCTATAATTATAGTAATTATGGAGTAATAATTATAGAAGGTATTGATTTTAATTCATATAAATATGTGTGTTGAGCCATAAAATGCATTTAGCAATAAATCGATTGACAAACATTTTAAAATATGTCATGTTCCCCTATTTGAATGATCATTGCAATATTAAATGCGGGTAATATATTGCTTTAAACTTATTAGTCAATGCCAGAGGTATTTAAAATAAAATACATTGATTCATATGGCATGCCGTTTTAACATTTCTTAGATAATAGTTTGAAGATTAAAGTTTAGCATTTAAATTATGTTTTAACAGAAATTTACAAAGTTAAATTTTTTTAAACAATTGATAATCAAAAAATATTTTAAGTATAAAATACAACTGTAAAACATTAAGTTTAAAAATATTTAAAAAAAATGTAAAATACCTATACTAATTTAAATTTGTTAAAAAAAAAGTTTTATGCTTAAATTACTCAAGGGTCATTTAAATGATAGTCGATAAATTTTTATTCCAAAAATTACCACTTGAAAATTTAAAAGTAAAATTTAAATGTTATGTGAGAATTTTTGTATTAAAAAATTATCGACCATTTAAACCAAAAATTTTGTAGAATAAAATATTAAAAGTACAATGTTTAAAAATCAATATTTTTAAACTTAAAACTTTTACAATTGCATTTTATATATAAAATATTTTTTGATTATTAATTATTTGAATTAAAAAAAAATACTTTTTAAACTATATTGGTAGAAAATGTTTTAGGGTAAAGTTATCGCACTATCTCAGTCAGTAATATTATATATAAAACTACTTTATTTTGGGTCCAATATAGGACAAAAAAGTTCGCACGTTACTTGGGTGGTAAAATTTTTGTTTTTTTTTTGTTAAGAGCAGGGCTGTGTTTAAACTGCAATAAAAAATATTTCTAAAAAGTATACAGATCAATGTGTGGAATAAATGTGTTCCTCATGGTTTAAACATTGTCATTTAATGCGTTTTAATTCTGAAAACAAACAGTAAAATGGCCATTGTCCAATTACTGGTTGGTAAAAAATGTAAATTTCTATTATTGGACATGTCCAATATCATACTCTATTTGTATCCCGGACATTTACCAGCCAATTCTGTAAAATTGTCTCATGAATCCGAAAAGACCGTAAAAAACTATAAAAGTTAAGCAGTTTTTTCCATATTATATGTAAAATTGAATATATTTCAAAAACTGTTCTACTTTTATAACTTTTGACGACATTTTCGGATTCAGCGAATAATATTTCATAGGAATTGACTGCTAAACGTCCTGGATACAAATTGCTGTTGACGAGAATTATTAGTGGCAGCTTTTTCGCTATGACATTTTTGACTAATTCATTTTTAGAGAGTAAGTAATGTAGTGATTTCTTCGTCACAGGACATCTTGCAGAATAACAGTGATTTAAATACAGTGCATGATAGAGAACATACAAAACTAATGAGAACAAAATTAATAAATTCGGAAAATACTTTTAACATACCACCCGAAAAAATATTAGATATGTGTATTAATCATCCTGTTCCGGCTTAAACATTATTATGCTTCACAAACCAGAGATACCACACTTAATGATATTTGCAACAAACTATTTCAGAAGTCAGACCAAGGAATTAGTAGTTACCTTCAGAATCCAGAAAGGGGATGAGGAATCCGAGAAAGAAATATACGAATTATATGATATTTACAAAAAGGAAATAAAAAAAAATACCCAAAACAGCAAGTTATCTTTAAAAAATATTTAACAATTTATGTTATTTGATGTAAAGTTGTTATGTTTATATAAAAATTGTATGTTCAATAACTAGGGTCCATGTGTCCAATTCATTTAAATAGAAAATCTAGGTTCCATTAATATTGTTTTTAATAATATTTTCTACAACAAATTAAAACGGACATTGGTGACAACAAAAACGGTTCCACTTCGCACGTTTTAGTACAAATCAAAGTCACACCCCTAAAAAATTGAGAAGTAGGTATCTCCGACGGGCCATTCAAATTGGTTTACATTCCTTCCGAGTAGGTAGGTACAGTCGGAATTAAAACAATGCAAAATCGAGTTCTCTTGGCGTGTAGGTACCCCACCTGCTAGCCAACCGAGTCGAATACTTGTATACTCAGGTAGAACATCTAGTGGTACCGTTATGCTGCCAGTCTGAAGAGGAATCAACCAAGTTGGTTTGTCATCGCAGCAAACGCAATAACGATACAATTATTTCACCTTTTCTGCCGAAATTTGCGTCCAATCCAGTGACAGTGTCAGTGAAAATGTGATTGGATATTGCATCCACCCTTTGTGAAGTGTTTAGAGTGCAACTGGTTGATTTCGGTGACCCAAATACTTAACCAGGTACTTACTGTAGTTCCCAGCTCACGACTGACCGTTTCTTTAATGATGAAAAACTCTAGCGAGTTTCCACGAAAAAGCTAAGCGGAACAAGCGGATTTCTCGTCGTTTTTTGTTTTGTATTGTATTTAAAAAATTGCCGGCTAATGTGCGAGTGTGATTGACCTGTGACAACATGGCTATATTAATAGTACATATCGCACTCCTCTGGCTTCTGGTTAACCATGTTGAAGGTAAGGAAACGTTTAATTTATTTTCCCTTTAAACCTGTAAACCCGATGGTCCAGCTTGCTTTGCAATGCCACTGTCAAGAACCTTTTAAATGTATTCTGTATTCTTGCTTTCTTCATATTACACATGTTATCCTTGTTTGCATAATGCAATAAAATTAAATGGTAGTGACTTGGCATTAACTTCTAACTTGTAATTTGTCTTCCCAGGTATGTAGTGAAGACAATTCCAAATTTACTTCATTATTCTCTTTCATAAGCTGATCAACGGGATAAAATATCAATTAATAAACAATTTGGGATTACTTCTATAACAAATGGATATATCAAACGTATTCATCCCTATTTGATTAATGGTTAGGAGTTTCAAATACTGCGGTATGTTTGTATACTAAAGTTAATATTTAAAATAATTTTGTGGGTGCAATTTTTAATAAAACATGCTCAAAATGACCGCCGCACAGTGGTCTGAATGGCAAATTTACGCGGCAAAAATCCAATTTTTAAAACACTTTATTAACGCATTTTGATGCCTCTTATTGTTCGTGACAGATTATTACCTAAGATTTTAAACTGCGAAGTAGAATTTACTGCGTATGCGTTGCGTTATAACAAATACATGAAAAGATTGTCAAAAATACTCTTAGTTCCTTTTTCGTGTAAAAAATGTGTTGCGAAAATATAGTAGTGAAAATTAGTGTCAAAAATTTATATTAGGGATAAAGTTGAGTACAAATACAACTTTAAAATGTCTTTTTTGGATTTTTTGCCAAAAATATAGCGTTTTTTAACCCACAAATTCTCAAGTTTTGTATACAATTATATATACAATTATAATTACAAATAATAAATGGAATACCTATAAGTAAAAATTTATAATTACTTGTCCAGAACCACATAGTGCATTCAAAAATATGAACCTCAGGTCCAACTTTATAAAAATTCATCTGCCTTTATGCGCCTATAAGAGAGTTATGCAAAAATGAAAAATGGCCGACAAATTACCGCTAACCTGGTCATAAAAGTAATATATTTCTTAAATTTGACAATAATTATTGCATTTAAGAATGGTAATACAATTTTCTTTACTCCTATTACATAATATTATTTTTTTAATATACTTTGTATATTATACAGTGTGCTCACGGATGGTAATGACAATAGAAAAAAACTTTTTTATTAGGTATGATACGAAAAAAAACATGTCATTTAAAAACTTTTGTTGTTTCAAAAATAAGATTCCTACACAAACATTTTGAATTAAATGTACAGGGTGCTCAGAAACTAAAAAACCCAAAAAAACTAGAAGTGCGTTTTGTGGAAAAATGAATTCTTTTTGAAAATATTTGATGGTTAAAAATTAAGACTTTCATAAAAAGATGAATTATATATACAGGGTGCTCAGAAATTAAAAAAAAATATATATCAAAATAAGATAGAAATGTGGTAAGATATTCGTAACGGAATCGCAAAAAATCATTCTTCATAAAAACTTCTGCTTGTATTTAAAAATGAGATTCCTAACAAACATTTTTAATTAAATGTCTTGGGTGCTCTGAAAATAAAAAAACATTAAAGTGCTTTAAGAGGGTAGTTCAATAATTATTGTTCTATAGGAATCTCATTTTTAAAACAAGCAAGAGTATTTAACGCATAATAAAAATAATTAGTTTTCCTATTGTCAACCATTACGATATTGGCTAAAGGGTTGTTAAAAAGAAATATGGTGAAATGTAAAATGTTGATATAATAATATATTTTTGATACTTTGAAGGTAATGGTTTTTCGGTTATTCATGATAAAAAATTATGCTTGCGCCATGTTGCAATCGCCAACATTGGCGATCGCCCCCTGGTACGAACTATAAATATTTATTTATTTAATAAATAAATTATTAAATATAAAACATAAAAAAAAAAAACAAAAAATTCACAAATATTAAAAAGATTCATTTTATATCATTTGGCTAGACTTAGCCCCCTCAATACCAAATATTTTTGAAAAAAATTGATAAAAGAAGTAAATTTAGCACCCTTAAAAACATAAAAAATACACGTCTTGGGAAAAATATTTAAAGAATAATTTTTGCCGCGTAAATTTATCTCTCAGACCACTGTGCGCCGTTCTCTTGTTTACTTTAAAAGCGTCAGTCTTCATCGTTTCGGGTGTTACATTGGTTCAACCAAAGTCTAAATTTGTATGTATTTTGAAATAACATTTTAGCAATTAAAGTGCGTTATTCTCTATGTTTTTAGTTGTTTTATTTAAATTGTAAAATTAGTGCAGTTTAGCATATAGAATAACGATTTTATAAGTCAAAAAGTGTGCGTTTCGGGTGTTCGAATTTTCTTAGAAAAACATTTCTAAAAATTACAGGCCTCCAAAAGTATAATATTTACTAACCGTCTACCACATAATCACTGTCACAAATAACGTTTTGCTTTTTTTTTTATAAAATTTTACTTTGTTTCGGGTGTTACCATGGTTCTGTTTCGGGTGTTACAAGTACAAAAAATAAACACTTTATGGACAAAAAAGGTAAAATCATTATTATTGCAAAAAAAACGATAGAAACAAAATTTTGACGAAAATCGTGGTATTCGGTATTTTGGTAGGTCCGTTGCCATTTAGGTAGAAATACCGAAATTTCGGTAGGTTCGACAACACCATCGTAAAATCAGTCACACCTCTTTAAAAGAGGTGTGACTGCTTTTCCGATGTCGGCGCTAGTGGGCCGTCGAAAGAGCCTTAAAAATAATACATATTGCATTCTTCAAGCAATACACACACATATATCGACATATGAAAAAGTTGTAACACCCGAAACGTTTTGGGTGTTACAGTTTTTAATCAAGAAAAAACATATCAAATTAGTCTCATGCTTAGATATTGGTTAGTATTTTATATCATTACTACCATAAAGTTACTTTTACTAAATATTATTACACAAATCAATCTGTAAGGTTTACTAATAAAACAATTACATGATTTTTCGTTTCGGGTGTTACAGTGGCAAAGTAAGAAGAAAACACATTTATAACGTGATAATTATCAATTTTTTCGGGACTGTGACGCAATCCACCAATACTACGATAAATAATCTCAAATCATAACGTGGCAAAACGGTTGACAGATTGACAGTTTTTTTTGTATTTCCAATAGTTAGAGGCACAATGGTCATTCATCCAGTTCACTTGAGTACAGATTTTGAAGACTAATTAACTTAAAAATTACGCGTTTCTTCTAGTTTTTTTTGTCGCACATTATAATTTGGAATGTTTTCTTTCAAAATTCATCAGATTTGGTACCATTTTTATTTTTACGTGTTGAATCACCGTTATTTCAGGACACCCTGTATAATATTTGTATTGTTTTGAATGAAAACTGACCCACTTTCTTAAAATTATAAAAGTTAAACCATATTTGTCGTCAAATGAAAGTAAAAATGACTGTAATTTAAAGTAAACATTGTTACTACAATATATATATATATGTATTGTTTTACATGTATCTACTATTAAAATGTATACATTATTACATGTATCTACTATTAAAATGTTTTGTTATGTTGTTCTACCTACGAGTATTAATACCTTTTATATATTTTTATATTTAAAAGTAAATAAATGAATTTTAAAATTGACATTGAAATGCAAACATTTAAATATAAATTTGTTTTGTTAGCCGTTACAAACATTAAAAAACAAATAAGAGTAGGTATATAATATTATATATTATGCTCCCCCCAGACATGAGAACGTAAGGGAATAGCACTATCTCTCTTTTATTATCAACATTTCCCTTAATTTTGAATTCTTTCCTGACACATGACGTAGAATTGAGGTTAGGTCTGTCACTGACAGTACAATTGAGGTTAGGTAACCTTTCAAATGTACCAGAGAGATAATAATTCATAATAATATTTCAGATATGGTTAATTTATCCATCATGTATCTGATTCTCATTGATATTTTCTCTTATTTATATCATGCATCTTTTTAAATACTTGTAACTTCTAAACAAAAATGTTTCGGATCTAAGTAGTTCATTTAAAAAATATGTTTAGAATTAACCCAGCTATCATCTGTTAGGCATAGAGCTTGTAAATATTTAAATTTGAATAAAAAACATGCATAAAATAAATGATTCGTATACGTTTTTAGCTTATGTAAAATTAGTATTTAAATCAGTTTTAAACCGTTTAATTATTTGTATTCTACAACAATTTTGACTGATTTACATATGACATGTTCTATATTAAGGAATTCCTTGTATTATGCTACCAAGCCCAAATAAATTCACCGAATACCTACCTACTGAAAATTGTAAGATGCTATAAATATTTGTGTGTATCTAGATAAATTATTATTAAAATATTAAAATAAAAAAAGAATATATTTATACACAAAATTCACCTCCTACGTTTTATCATTTACTAAGGACCATAAATTTAACAAAATTAGTAATTAGCAGTTTTATTATAATAGGACTATAAATTTAACATCAATAGTAATTTGTAGTTTTATTATAATATCTACTACACATCTTTCTAATGGAAAGAATATTCAAAATTTTAAGAAATGTTGCAATATATTTTTTTTAATAGTCGAATTGATATTGTTTTTATATCACAAAATTAGTTTTGTGTCTTTACTTTTATACAGGGTGACAATAAAAATAAAAATTTTATTTTATAAAAAATATGTTTACCCATATTACAGAAAAAGGTTCCATTTAGGATAACGTTATCACGTGCCAAGAAGCGATTGAAATATAATACAGTAATAATCTTAATAATAATAATAATAATAATTTTTTCATCTTATGAGTTTTTAATGTCTTGCTTCGTTTAAAAGTTATTAAGAAGAATAAAACAAATTTCATACATCATAAATAATGATTCATTATATAAAATTGATAAAATTTTAGAAAATCAATATTTTTTATTTACTAGGTAATTAAGAATTGCCCAAGTAACAATTGTAAGATACTTTTTATTTATT